ACAAGAAGTGTGTGTCCTTCTAGCTCCCCAAACTCTGGTCCTGCTACAATAGCTACTCTCTCACTAGTATAAGCTTCTAGGTAGGCATTACCAATATCTGTAGCCCATAGGTCCAGGTCGTTTAGTTTGGCAAGGAAGATCATTAGCTTCAGGCCTCTAATGGAAACCACGCCGGAGTATACACTATCGACGGGTACCGAAGTCAGGTGGCCATCTGCCACAAGTTGGGCTTTGTGTCTGCCGTCATGTTTGCAGGCGTACACAAGGTGAACTCGGATCTTTTGGAATCCCTTTGGAATTGGAGTTCCCTTGCCAATATCTACAAACACTTTATATTTGGCAAGTTGGTCCATTTCCAACTTCGTACAGTCGTGCCACTTAGTATTGCCATGGATCCGATCCAGACGAAGAGCATCATTGTAGTCCTTCGGGATTTCGAATCCATACATGTACCTGGGTGCAGTACGGAACGATCGAAGCTTGGCCTGATTTACCATTCTCAGGAGCTTCTTTTGCCTATTAGCTATAGATCTAAAACGTTTCCAACCATCATGGTCTAATAAGTTGTTATCTCTAGCATAGATAGCACAGGCGACTGGGTCATCTTATGACACTCAGTGGCTCAGGAGTGATCTCCCCATTCTCCCACTCCATAGTCACATTGTACTTGGATCCCATGTATGATGGATGACTTGGGTGAAGTGGTCCCTGATGTCCGGCAATCTGTTTGAATTTCCAGACAGTTGGGTTCTCCTGGTCAGCCTCAAGTCTCTCCAGGATCTCGTTGTAGGCCATGACGTCTTCGTACTCATCGTCATTGACACTTACACGGAATTGGATGTGCTCAGGTTGGCTGGTTGTCTTTTCTTTATGTTGATCGATAAGGTCAACAATCTTAGCTCGGTGTACGTAACCTTCGTCATCAGGCTCAAGAAGGAAGATCCGACCGATAAGATCACGGTTGTGGACCAAGGCCTTGGCGTCATCTGAACGCAGCTTCTCATCTCTATCATAGATTAAAGACAAGTTATCATCAGGAACTTTATCAGAATAAGATTTAATGATAGTAGGGGGTGTCGGTTCCTCCCCATCAGATGCTTCAAGGCTCTTGTTGGGGTCCGTAGGTGATTGGGCACTACGTAGCTCAGACCAATAAAGAACAGTATTGGTCTTTGGGTCAAGAACTTTGTAGGTCATTGCGTGGCCAACATGCTCTGCAATGCCAACCATGTATCCTATGGCCTCCGGAGAGCCGGATGGAAAACTAGGCTCCTGAAGTTTAAAGTATACCTTCTCATAAAATTGAAAACGTAGCAATACACTTATATCAGGGGTGGTCCCGGTGAGGACCTGAAGGGGTGGAAGCCATCCAAGGCTCTCAACGGCGCTGTGGTTGTATACAAACGAGGCATAACGTAAGGCTAAAGCCATAGACTAGGTGGGGCACCTGTTCTATCGATTACTCTATTAGCGAGTCGTTTGATATCTTGGTAGCGTCGTTCGGCTGGGTTTTGCTTCTGTCGGTGTAGCTCACTTTGCCAATCATCAATGAACAACCATCGTAAGTAGTCTTGTACAGCCTTTGACGTTTGGGCTCGTGCACGATCACTCACAAGTTTGGTAGGAGCACCTCGCTTGCGGACGTTATCTTGCAGTGTCTGCAGAAATTGTCCATCGGTGGAGACACCATAGAGGTCGCTCACAAGTGATCGCGTACCGACAAAGAATTGTGCGGCGATGTGACCATGTTCAATGTCAGGCGTATCCGCAAATACGGTATCAGTAGCGACGGGTTTGTCACGACGTTGAACATTGAGCGCTGGAAAAGGCAAACGAAAGTGTCGCTGCAAGTGAGCACTCATTGGAATTCTAGCAAACTGAGTAGTACAGTCAAAAGTTTTCTGAATCACTAGTTTAGGCAGCCACGCAAAGTATTGCCGTAGCTTTTCCCAATTGCGTTGACGCTTCTTAGTCTTAGGGCCTGCCGTGGCATAGACCGGTGGTGCGTCAGTCAGAGTATCATCGAAATGTACTCTTGGCGGTGGAGGACGACCTGACTCCCCATGAGGTGTCTTCCTAGCCTTATGGCGTGGGCTGCGCCTCAGGGTCGGCTTGTCCGAATCGAGTATGAGGTCCTTGAAAGAATTGGCTTCCAAAGGAGCTGATTCGATATCGTAGTTGACTGGTTGTCCTGGGTCAAACAGCACTGAAGGACGCTTACAAGCCTCATAGACCTCGAAACACTCAGGGATGGGTGAATCTTCTGGTGCTGCACCAAAGCCAAATAGATCAGCCATGTTGCATTCAAACCATGTAAGGTCTTCACATGCTCGGTGGTGCTGCTTGTATAGTCCATCAGTCGGAAGAACACAATTGAAATTCTCAAAATAATCAATAGTTTCATCTAGTTTAGACTCCTTGAAAGAAGTAACAGCCTTATTATTCTTAAGGACTCCTACAAGATCAAACGGACGTTCTTCATCCTCAGAGTCGTAGTCAGGGACGGACTTTGCCCATTCTTCCATATCCTCAATCGAATGATCCAGTACACTTGGATCCCAATCAGTGTCAGAGGTGAGTACGACATGTGGAATGTCAGGATTACTCAGTTCTCGATCTGTTGGTGGTCGCATTTGTAGGTATGGAAGGCCATTCCTGATGTCAAGTGGTAAGACAAAGCCATCTGGTGTTGTCAAGCGTTGTTGACCACCAACTTTGGTAGACTTGTCGTCCACGACGATCTTGAAGTGTTCCATTTGTCCACTAGACAGAATGGACTGACCCTTTCCAATGTAGGCTTGTTGGTGCATGATGGCAATGGCAGGTCCACGTTGGGTGTGGATTAATCCAGCCAAAGTGACGATAGGAATATCAGTCACTTGGTGATTGTCAATGCCTTGTACGTCAACAGTACAATTGGATTTGTGGATGATGCGAGCATCATCTCCAGCAATGCCGCCATTGGCACCTCTATCAATCAAAGCTAGGTGTTTACGGGTGTTGACTTTCTGGATAGAATAGATAATAGTATGGTTATTAACCGATCTATATGTTATCCCATTAAGCGTCAACTCGTGTTGCTTGACTTCTTGTTGAGGTGGAGGCGGTGTGCGTTTGGTAGCCGGTACGACAGCCAACTTATCAGACATCACACGCTGTAGCTCCCCAGGCTTCATAGTGTGTTGGTTGGTAAGATAGGCTAGTAGCTTATCAGGCGGTACATCTTCAAGTTCCTGGGCATGAGTGAGAGTACTAGTCTCTGTGCTCCCCATGCTCTCACGCTGCGCAGGGGCCAGGTGGTGGGTTGGAGGACGTGCCTTTGAGGATGATGGCCTTGGCCGCGTCTGGGAGTTGGTGCCAGGCACGACGAGCTTGGTCATCCAGTTGCTGCCAGGTAGCATTGTCAAGTCTAGGACGTGTGGGGCGACGAGAAGAAGCTTGGAAGGCTTCGATAGTACGGCGATCAGTGTCCAAGTCAAAATCAGGAGTAGCGTAATCATTGATATAATCATGATCTTGATTGTAACTATCACGGAGCAGTGCTTGACGATTGCCAGAGGGAGTGGTCTTGCCTTCCATGGCTTTGTCGTGTTGCAGAGCCGTTTGTTTGACAAGCTCGATGTACTGGAGGTAGGTCAACGACTTACCGGTCTGCGCGGACAAGAGTCTAGAATTATTCTGGAGCTGTCGCAGACACGTAGTCGGTTGGACAGCATTTCGAAGCAGGATGCGAAGCTGAGAGTCTGCCATTTTGTCAGTAGCAACTTCGTTGTAGGTACAAGCCTGCTCCAGCCAATAGAGGACAAAGGCATAATGTTTGCCTGTCCAGTCCGATTTGACAAGTCTCTTGGTAGTCAGCCAAGTCATCAAATCACTAGCTTGCATATCGGCCACTGCAGATGTAGTACAGTGATTGGAGAGCTCAGCCCAGATCTGCTGGGCATCGAAGTTGACTTGGTACTTGCGCACCAAAGATTTGTTAGTGTTGGTCTGCAATTTGTGGAGGAAGATGGTGTACATGAAGGCCTGCTGTTTCTGGAAGAGGTCCCGTTCGTCCACGGATTTGGGCACATAGGAGTGGTCCAAGACATTCAGTGTGTCATGGACGCGTGCGGTGGAACAAAAGGTTCGATGGAAGCTGTCCCACTCTTCATCAGTGTTGAGAGTTGGGTATGTGTCGGGATCGAGTTTCAAGCTCTTCTGGAACGAATCAGCGGGTGTACGATGATCAGGCTTAGATACAAGAGGTTGTGGTAAAGAAGAGTTATTAAAAACTATAAAATCACCACTACATTGATAATTTAGGAATGCTTGGACGTCAATGTGCATGCAATTGATCGGGGTGATTGGATCGCAATGGACGTTTTGACGAAGATAAGCATACCCAAGTAAGGCCCGAACAGTACCACGATGGGGCCGCTCAAGCTGGGTAAGCTGAGTTTGGCCAGTATCCACCCCGTATTGGTCGATGACGGGTGCATCGTACTTCAATGCAAGGAGCTCATTCTCGTTGTAAGAGAGGAGGTGCATGAAGTGCAAGCATCCATTGCGACGAAGAGCACGCATGAGTGGGCTGTCTAGGGGCTCTTGAAAGAGGGTTGTGACAGCAAACTCAAGGCTTGCAAGGGTACGACCAGGTGGCGCGGTAGCATTGGCGGGCGTACCGGCAGTATTGCCAACAGTTGAAGTAGCAGGGCTGACAGGTTGGTTGGCAGCACCGGCAGGAGGAGCGGGTGTAGAGTTCATACCGCTCCAAGTAGTTGGTATTTCTGGTTTGTTGTTGTGGGGTGGAAAAGTAGGGGAAGAGTCCTCTCACGAGAGCGAAGACTCTAGGGACGATGCCTGTCCCAAAACTTCTTAGGTGCAAAGGTCGGTCGAGTAAATCCCTAACAAAAAGGGCTCGAGGAATTGACGTTCTGTACTAGTGGATACCCTACGGTCACACTAGTCCCAAGGATTGCTGGCAGGCTTTCCTGGTTTTCTTGAACGTCTTGCAGGTCAGAACAGAAGCGAAGGTCCCAACGAATTGGAACAAGGCGTGGTCTCTTTTCTATAGACTTTTAAACTCCCTTGACCTTCTTAAATCCGTTTCCGCCGTATTCAACAATCAGCAAAATGACCGACCGAAGTTGGTCGATTGCAGATGTGAATACGGAGACTTGTCTTCTGAGTCTGTAAGAGACTGGCTGCAGAAGACTACAAGAGGCTGAAAAAAACCCTCGACCTTTACGGGTATAGGCGTCCCGGTGCTCCAACGATCAACAAGTGCCCGGTCGAAAACTGGCTGGTTGTCAAGTGGAAAAAGGAAAAGCAGCACGCCGAAAGTCGTTGTGCACGCAACGACGATCAACTCCGGGGGTGCTGGGAAGGACTGCGGGAAGTTGTACTCACGGATGTACAAAATCCAGAACAAGTTTCAGTCGATTTAAAATAAAACCGATCTGTGTGCCGCTGTCTGTTATTAGGGACGAGAACCATCTCGTTTAATTGCAGTACAGCCGGGCAATGAACCTCACGAGCTGTCTTTGTGGTGGATTTCTCAACACCGGAAGCAAAAGACGACAAGTGGGGGAAGCACGGGTTCGGCGGATGCCCAGCGCTTAACTCCCTTCGGCTTCCAATAGGGCTGGAACACCGAAATATAGAACCACCGAAATATAGAACCACCGAAATAAAATAGGAACCAATACCCTTTTGTGCCGTTGGGTCTTCGCGTAGTCGTCAACAGTGATGGTTATGGTGATCCAAATAAAGTTTAGTCGACTTTGAAACGCGGCAGCTATAAAACCTTTGAGATTGATAAACCAGAGGAAAGAGGTAAACTCTGGTCGTCGACTGTAGGTGTCGGAAAGGACTGGGCCAGATCGCAAGTTTGGGTGTTGCGGTGGGCCGAAATGCCGATGAAGTGGCAAAAGCTTGTAAATGTGCTTCTGAAGGAAGCAGAGGTCATTTTTCTGTGGAAAAAACGGCGGCAGTTAGCTGATGGTGCGTAACTGCGACTGTTAATCTGACAGAATATAATTATTCTTGGGTGAACGCTCGAGATTACACTAGAAGATAAGATATCAATTCAAGGTAAACAAAACACTGCAGGTGTTGGCTATCGAAGGACGGACTGATCGGAACGCCCAAGTACGTATGCAAAGAAGGTACAGTAGCAGGACAGTGGAAAGCTACGTACCAAAGAGGTTGTGAAAGAAGTTGGTGAAGGAGCTGCAGCTCAGTTGCAGCTCATTCCTTTTGAAAAGACTGCTCTGTATTTGACAGAGTGAATTTGAAGTCTAGGAATAGATAGTTATTAAGATTACCCTAGTCCCACCTCACCCTTGGAGGAAACCAGCGCTTGCGCTGGGGGATTGGGGGCCAACAGCTAGTAACAACTGTCAGCCCAAAAACATCATTGAAACTCTTTTAGGCCCAATTGGAGTCTGCGAAATCCAAAGCGATTGAGAAGGATGAGCAATCGCGACACGATGAGTCGTTCGGGAATTGACGAACAGTTGATGCGCTTGGTGCGCAAAGTTCCAACTGTTCTCATCCGACGACACGTCATCATATCTATTTTACTATTAATTACTATAAGACCCATAAGACTGCTAACGTACAAATCGTATTGGTCCAAGTCATGAAACCCGTTCTTGATACAATTCTGTCATAGTGCTCAAGTAAGGTGTTCCTGCCACACCTTCCAGTGGTTCCTGTTGGGCCGGACAGTGCGAGGCCATTGATATGACAACCGATATATATAACTGAATCATTAATTGGTATTATGCTACTTCTAGAGTATCCAACTGCCGGTGTAATACGGCGGTAGAGGCCAGGAACTAGGTTACTTTTGGTCAACAAAGTTTGAACCACGTGGAGGCGTTCAATAGAGGAACGTTGCTTGCAAGTCGAAAGTGTCAAGGGACGATCGGCTCTCCCACGCAAGGTGGGGTGGAGAATATGTATGTGTTAGACTGGGGTACGTGTGGCTTGTGATGTACCAGTACCAGAATCACTTTGGTAAATATGTAGACAAGTAAGTCAGGGGGCTGCTGGGCGAGGAGTAGGGTGGGTCAGTTCCCACATCAATCGTCGCCTGCCTGCAAGAGATCGTCTGATTTTGCGGCGGGCTTCGGAGATGACGAGGACCCATTCCTCCTTGTCCGCCAGGTGGAGTCGGAGGACGTCTACAAGGCGGGATCGACGGATGACAGGGCGAAGGTTCTGAGGTAGGTCGCGAGGACCCATGTCAAACTCTTCGTGGATGCGTCGATCGAGAGCAGTCGCGCGCTGTTGGTTGACGATGTTGTCGTCAGAATGAAAGACATCATTGCGATGCTTCCACATGCCTTTACCGATAAGGATGAGCTGTCGAGATAGATTGGCAGCCCAGCGGTTACCGGATCGGCGACTACCGCGAGAGCGGTAGAATTGTTGCTGGAGGTCGGCCCAGCCGTGGACGAGAAGGCCTTCGAGGAGACATTGGGGGCCAAGGCGGAGTTGGGCCTCACAGACTTGGGTGAGGGCGGAAGAAGACATTCCGTGTAGGCGGTACCACGGAGTCTCTGTTTGAGGCTGGTTGTGAGGGGTGCGAATAGTGCGAAGGAGGGCCCCGAAGAATTGGGCAATGGGTGGAGCAGTGGTGGTGGACTGGAACCATTCTTGGAGTTCTTGGAGTAGGAGCTGCCACTGGGTCTTGGCGCGGTCGGAAGGGCAGCGGGGGACATGTAGGTGGTCTTCCTCCAGGCCGCACAAGGGGCATTGGTTCTTGGAGTCGAGGCCCCATCATTTACGGAACTTGCCGCCGCCGCACATCCCAACGGTGTGTTTTGTGATGAAGCGCTGTTCGGCGGGCTTCAGAGACTTCATCGCTCGGTGCACGATTGGCCAGTCCACCGATCGGAAGTGTTCGGGAGCGAGGCGGCCTTTGGCTGCCCATTATTCCATCAATTCCGGCAGGACAACGGCGATTCTAAGGCCAGGCAGGAGACCTTCTTGTTGTCGATGTAGATCGCACAGGGTTCGGAGAAGAACTTGGGATTGGTGGCGATCGTGTCCTCGGTGGCGATCAGCTTGTCGGCGTAGCCCTGGAAAATGTCGTCCACCTCGGAGTTCCGTCGTTCCCACCAAGACATCTGTCGCCATGTCTTGGTTCGGTCAGCGTGGCCATCCACATGTTGTTCGGCCCAGGATATGTTGGAAACTTGGAGGGCTTCGCGGATGGAGAACAAGAGATCAAAGTGTGGGGCCAAGTCGAGAAGGCCTGGCGAAGCGCGGCAATCCCATCACACGCCCCCCCATCAAGTTCGTCAAGTTCGTAGCTGGACAGCGGCTGTGCCCACTTGTTGCTTGAAGGAGCCATCGCTGATCACCCGTAGCTTCCCCTTCTCCAGTGCCTCCAGGAGGACTTGTTCGTCACCCTCAATGTAGATGTATTCCGGGACCCATCCCAAATTGTCGTCCATGTCGGCTGCCAATTCCCTCCAGATGTGAAGGATCGAGGCTGGCAAGGACTCCTGGTCTGGTAGATCTACCGGGGCTGTGCCCGTGACAGTGATGTAGGCTGTCCGTGGGTGAAGGTTGACTGAGGCCCATTGGACGTCCCCAGGAAGGGTGCCCGTCCAGGTGTGGTGAAGATCCCTTCGGAAGGTCTTATGGGAACGCGAGTTGATGGGCCGGTAGATTGCCAGGTTTTTGTCTGTCCAATGGAAGAGGATCAAAGTGGTACAAGAGAAGAGCCAGGTCCAGCGGTCTAGCGAATCAGACCACGGTCCGAGGGGCTGCAACAATCGGCGACGGCGGCTGTAGGGGCGGAGGACAGCTTGAGAGAGGAAGCGTCGCCATAGGTCCCAGTGAGAGGGGCCAGGGCGTCGAGTTCGGGGCCAATTGTAGCTGGTAACAAAGTGTCCAGAGGGGTGGCCGGCAAGAGAAGCTGCCGTCAGGGAACGACCATCGGAGATATTGGCGGCACTAGTTGAGCCACAGCAAGTCCTCTTGGTCGACCAAGGCATCGATGAAGATGTCCATCAAGAGACGATCGTCGACACAGTGGAGGGACAAGGGAGGGGAGGAGATCTCGACTCTGATGCCCAATGAGTCGAGCTCGATCCAACCCCGTTTGAGCCATGTTTTGGAGGCAAGGATCCCGGTGTTGGTGGGTTCTTGTTGAAGAAGGGGAAAGGAGGTGCCCGTTTCGAGTTGGTGGGACTGTAGGTTGGCCTCCAGGTACTGGCCGGTCTCGGTACGGTTGGCCAAATGGCGCATTATAAAACTGAGATGATGGAAGACTTGAAGGGCGAAAGGATGCGGGATACCCAATCCCTGGTACTTCAGAGGGGCAAAGACCACGACGCGGGGAAAGGAACGGCAAACCCCAGCTTTGTGCAAACTCGCTTGGAGGATTGGTGACATGATGGACACCCAGTCGGAGCGGCCCAGTGTGGAAAGGGGCATCACGTACTCCAAAGTTTTCATGGCGGTTGCCTTGAGCAAGGGAAGAACGTCATAGTGAAGTAGATGTTGGGGAAGGAACTTGGCTGCCCAGTTCTTGGCCTTCTCCCGCAGGGCAAGGTGTTGTGCAGTTCCGGTCTCAAGTGGGGCCATCATGACTCCCAGGGTCCGTTCAGCTTCATCGGGTTGGAGGCGTCGTAGTGTCGCCCACGGCCCAGTCGGGTCTTGAAGGGTCAGTTCGCCAGGCATTTCAGCCTTCCTTCGAAACACCCACGTGCCAGAGGACGGCCGCCATTTGAAATCAATCAGCC